CAGTTCCTGCACCAGATAATCTTTATCCTCTACAAGGCTGAGATAATTTGCCCCCTTCTCTGATCTCATCTCTCCAACCACACTGGTCTGCTTTCTATTCCCTAAAACTCAAACTCGCACTGAACTCAGAGCCTTTGCACAGCTATTCCCTCTACCTGGAACACTCTTCCTCCTCATATTCCCATTGCTGGCTCTTTGTCATTTAGGCTTTATCTCAAATATCATCTCCTTAGCCTTCCCTGACTACCTTACTTAACATTATCTCCTAGCCCATCATCGTTCCATTTTCATTCCACTTAACAGAATCTGAATTCTTTAATTGGTTACCTATTAATTGTCTGTTTCCCCCACCCCAGTCTGACTCATTCCCCAATATGTCCCTAGCACTCCAGCACCTAGAACATTGTTCAACACTGAGCAGCTCATTAAATACTAGCTGAATGAATAAATACCAGAAAAGAAAACCTGGACTCAGAGGTCAAAGCTCTGGATCCTTAATATGTGACCTTGGCAAGCCACTTCGCCTCTTTGAGCCTGTTTCCCTACTTGCTTCATGAGGAAATAGGCTAGATGCTCTCCAAGGGTCCTTCCAAGACTGGAAGTCTTGGAAAGCCAGACCTGGAAGCAGCCCAGCTGGTCCATCCAGAGAAGGCAGCTGGCCAGGGTCCCAGCAGCAGCTGCCCTCTCCCCACCCCCATCCACATCCCTGCCCAGCCACGCCATCATCTCACTCCCCCGTCGCAGAAACTGTTAATGAAGTGCGCACTGCTAAATGCAGTTACAATTACGGGGGCTAAGAATAAGGCGCTGACATCAGCCTCCTCAGTTTCCGAGTGAATCAGAAGGGGAGGGGGGAGGAAGGAGAAAAGAGGAGGGGGGGATGGCGCTCTGGAGCTGTCAAGTGGAAATAGCACAGCGTTAAATATAATCCAGCATTGGCCTACATCAGTCTGGAGAGGCAGGTGATGGCTTGGCCCCCAGGGCCAGGGCAGACAACTGGATTCTTCAAGGAGGCCAGGCAGCCATGGCAGCTGAGGGCCAACTGTGACAGGGATCATCCAGGAACCAATGGCCAGGAAGGCCCTCCGACGGTTGGGTGGATTGTAGCAGGGTGTTAGACCCTGGTGGGGTACATCACACCCAGGCCTTTGCCACCTGCTGTTCTGACAGCACAAGCATAGCCCCAGGAGCTTACACAGTCCTGTCTCACCCAGGATCTCATTTCATGCCCAGAAGCAGAAGATGGCCTAGAGTCAAACACACTTGGATTTGAATTGCCACCCTACAACCTGAGAAAGTCATGAATTCAACTGCTCTGAGCTGCCTGGCTTTCCTCATCTGCAAAATGGGTACATCTGCAACAGCAGCTACCCCTTTGGGTTGCCATAGGATTCAGTGCAATCACAGAAAGCACTGAGCACAGCCAAGCAAGCCCATCAATCATTTTATTTTTATAATCCTGAGATGCTTGAACAAAAATAATTAACCCTTTTTTTTCCAGATGAGGCTCAGGAAGGTTAAGAGATTTGCTTGAGGTCAGAGCCAGAGCGGATTCAAATCCAAGCTCAGTTATTTTTCTAATACAAAAAGGCAGTGGAACTGACAAGGAGCGCGGAATGGGGAAAGGTTTATAGTGGGGGAGATACTGCACCCTTTTGAGCACATTCACCGAAAGTGGCACCTTTCCAGCAATTTTTAAAAGACACGATGAAATGATGGTTGTTACGGCCATAGTGAAAAGACACAGAGGAGGCAGAGTAGCAAAAAGTCCCTGGGACAGGCGAGAGGGTCGGCAGAGGGTGAAGGCTTCCTTCCATTCTCGCTCTCCTCCGCACCTCTGCCCGCACCCCCACTCAGCCTTCAGTTGGAATTGGCTCTGCCTCTGGTTCTAGCGGGGAGTGGGGAGGGACACAGAGCCGCATCCTGAAAGGGAAACAAGGTAGATGGACCTCTCTCTCCCTTCCCACCAAACAGAACCAGGTGGGCCTATGGCAGCTGCAAACCGAGGAAGCTGGAGCCAGGAGTCTGGGGGCTTGGGGATGGGGAAGGGGGTGCCTAAGGGAGAGAGAAGAGAAGGAAAGAGCTCTGATAGCACCAGAGCAGACCTGCAGACCAGTGATCTGTACAATGGGGTAAGGGGTGAATCCTCATGCACCTGATTTTTCTAAGATCATTCTTTCAGGATAATTTGATTAAAATAAAGTGATTTGGGCTGGGCATGGTGGCTCATGCCTGTAATCCTAGTAGTTTGGGAGGCTGAGACGGGAGGATCGTTGAGTTCAGGAGTTTGAGACCAGCCTGGTGACATAGTGAAACCCCATCTCTACAAAAAAAAAAAAAAAATTAGCCAGGGGGGGTGGTGCACGCCTGTAGTTCCAGATACTTGGGAGGTTGAAGTGAGAGGATCATTTGAGCCTGGGAGGCACGGATTGCAGCAAGCTGAGATCGCACCACTGCACCCCACCCTGGGCGACAGAGTGAGACCCTGCCTCAAAGTAAATAAATAAATAAAGTGGTTTGTGTCCATACTCTCACCCCACCCCTCAACTTGAACTATGGGAACAACTGGTTCAATTTTCCATCATGCTTCAGTTATCCAAATCTAGAAGAGTTCTGCTCAGCTCTGAAAACATTAAGAAAATGGGAAGGGGGGTGTGGTCAGGAAGAAGGGAGATAGGAAATGTCCTGCCCTGGAGGGTGAGGATGGGAGTGGAGGCTTCAAAGTGGCAACCTCATGCCTCCCTGTGGTCCTGATCATGAAGGATATTTTAAGGCCTCCTCCCTCATCCACCCAGCCAGCCTCCTTTTAGGGCTGAAGGATTCATTCCCACCATCTTAGAGGGAAGGGGTGAGACAGCAGGACATTTTGTTTCCCAGAAAAAGCTCAGGTCAAATTTCAAGGACAAAAGTTAGAACTTGGTCTGGGAAAGAAAACTCTGCCAAATGGAACAAAGGGGGAGGGGGAGAACTCCAGTGAGGTCACTCCAGGTGCCTGGGGGTGTGGGGAGAAATTGGAACTCTGATTCTCCCTGCCAGGATCTGTCTGGCAGGATATAGGTATCGCCGCCTCATCACCCAGAAGTACTCAGACTACCCCCTACATTTCCCCTCTGTCCAAAAATGGGGAGCGGGGCGCTGTGGTACTAGTTTTTGGATCCCATTCACTATCCCACCCCGCCCCCAACCCAACAGATTTGGTCTGAGCGGAAGAGGGTGGTGCTGGGAAGGGCTTTCCAGCCCAGAGATGTGGCCCAAACCGCTAGGAGAGGGACCGGTAGCTGGCTGGTGTTGCCATGGCAACTTCCTCCCTGCGCTGGATCGAAGCTTCCATCCTATGGGCAAATCAGAGCTGGCTGCTCCAGCTTCTCCGCCCTTCTCCCGGGCGGGAGGGGGAGAACTGGACGCTGAAACCACTTGGTCAGGCTCAGGAACACCATGCTCAATTCCAGACCCTGATGTAACAACCCCCTTTGGCATCTGTTGGAAACTAGAGACACCCCAGCTCCCCAGCTAGGCCCCAAGGCAGAGTGTCAGGGCTGGGACTGTAGATGTGATTGGTGCAAATGAAGTGGTCAGGAAGAGCAGGGAACCAGTGGCTGAAATCCTCCCCACCCTCTTGACTGGCAGGCGAGTCCCCCAAATCCCTATGTTTAAGCCACTTCAAAGAAGGAGGGCCCAGCTCTACCTCAATAACTACAACGCTGCAATAAAAAGTATTGCAATTATATTAAAATTATAAAGCTAGCATTTTGAGAATCAGCCTTCTCCCCTCCCCAAACCCACAGATTCTTTTCTATGGTCATGTTCAGAAACAACTCTTTCTCAGTAACAAGACAGATAACAGCTAACATGTATTGAGAGCCTACCTCATGCCAGGTACTGTACTAAGACCTCTGCACAGCATAAACAGCATAATCGTTCATTAAAAGCACAGATGCTTGGGTCAGATTGCCCAAGTTCAAGGCTTCATTAACTCACTTCCTGGCTGAGTGACCTTGAAGGAATTAATATGTCTGTGCCTCAGTTTTCTCATCTGAAAATGGGGATGTTAACAGAATGGCAGTTTCATAGGCTTGCTATGAGGAATGAGTTAATATATTTAACATGTCTGGGAATATGTCTCGCACAAAGGTAATCATTTGTAAAATGTTAACCCTATGCAGTCCATGTTATTATTTTTCTTCTTCCTTACAGATACGAAACTGAGGCCACGTGTCTAACTCCTCCCCAATTACAAACCCAGTGCCAACAAGGCTGGGCAACAAAACACATACACAAAAACGCCCCCAAGCACATGTTTCCGTAAAGCCCCAGCATCCTTGTGAAAGAGGGCAAAAGGAGCATCTCATGAAATAAGTTCAAAGTGCACGAGGGAAGATAACCCTTGAGAGGAATTCTAGGAACCAGTAATGACCAGCATCCTGGACCCACGGGGTGTGGAAAGAGGTGTGAGGAAGGCTTAGTTTCCTGTGCCCACCCCAGTGGCCAAGGATCTCAAGTCCAAATCAGGAATGAGCTCTGCCCCAGTTAAGGCTAATAAGAAAAAGGCTCCTTCTCACACCATTTCTCAGGAAACTAGCAAAAGGATGGCAACTAAACCCTGAAGATGGCTCTGGCTCAGTGTGGTTGGAAAAAGATGCATTCGACGTGAGTTGGAAGCAGCAACAAAGGGGAGGCTCCGAGATGAGCCGGAGGCCTGTCAGGGACACATTTCTGAGACGGAGCCAGCAGAGACAGATAGGCATTAAGAGGACCAGGGGAGGGAGGGGAGAAGAGGCAGGTGGAGCCACGCCTGTGTCCAGTATGGGAGAGACCATTCCATTGCTTTTAGAAATCAGTTCAGCGCAGTGCTGTTCTAAAAGAATAAATCCAAAAGGCTTTTTTTAGGAGAAAATTAATGACTTTAAGGAGAACGAGAGAAATTAAGCACCAACACAACGCTGCCTACTTCCGACTTTCACCAGACATTCATTATTCTTCCGGAAATGAAAGTTGACTTTCTCCCTCCCCCTCCCAAATTTGAAGCATCCCTCAAGAACAGACAGTGAGCACAAGATGCCCAAATCAAACTCTTGGTCACCAGCCGCGCCCCCAGGCCTCCTCACCTGGGAAATATTTTCTACAAAGTGAGGTCTGGATTTCTTAAAAATCCTCTTTCAGAGGGAGGGCTACTGGTTTAATGGAAAGAGAACCATAAACCTGATTTTAGTCTCAGCTCTGTGGCTGCCTCACTAGATGACCTTGGGATATATTACACACACACACACACACCCCCCCATTCCAGGGCTTCAGTCACACACATACAAACACACAAATACACACACACACCCCCATCCATTTGCGGGCAAAAAGGGGATAGACAAGATGATTTCTAGGTCTCTTCCAAGTGAAACACTAAAGAATTTCAAGAAGCCTGCTGGAAAAAACAAACATGAGTGGACCTTTAAAAATATCATTAATACTACATGAAGTTATCTGTTCTGACTTAAGTGAAACCAGAGCAAGTTGCCTGCAGCCTGCAATAACCAAGGTGTTTGACCCATGACACAGGGTTTGAAGAAAAACCAAACCATTCCTGCCTCTGATGCTCCTACAAACCCACGGTCCTGCCCAGACCGGCTCTTGAGACCCAAGTGGCCTGCTGACCACTCTACTGTGTTGGGGAGGCCCCTACTTCTTCCCTCCTTGCCTTGTCCAGAATAATAATACAACCTCCCTCAGCTACATCAAGGCAGAAGTTAAACCTCTGAGCCTCAGTTGTTTTTTTCTGTAAAATGGTGCTTGTAAAAATGGTAAAATGTCTCTGCAGCAACCATCTTCACCCTTACCCCCATCCCCACCTCCAGGTCAATAGAAAGATAGGTCTACTGGGGATCTGCCTCACCCATCATTCACCAGTCAACAAATTCTTCTGAAGAACAGGCAGGAAGACATGACCACCACTTCATCCCATGATAGAACCTTGGTTGCCAGGTTGATCAGACAAGGGTCCCCAAAGACTAAGTCTAAACCTGGGCCCAGGAACTTCCTAAAACCGTAGGCTACCTTTTGTGGATGGTGCAGACATGCACTTCGGGAGAGACAGTCCATGGTTTCCTCAGAGACTTGAAAGTGCCCATGAAACCATTTTGCTCCTCCAGCACATACGCTCCTCTGTTTTGTGCCCCCATTGAATTCAAATACTCTTGGATTTTCAGCTCGCAAAACACTGAACTCCACCCTCACACTATACAGAGCCTTGCATCGATACGACGATCCCCATTTCAGAGATGAGGAAATCCAGGCTCAGGGGTGGCATGACTTGCCCAAGGTCACAGCTAACAAGTAGAGAATGAAGACTGGAACCTGATTCCGATTCCCAATCTGGCATTCTTTGAGGAACTGTCACCCAGGCCCTCTAGCTACCCCACCTGTTGGTGGATTCCCTTCCTCACCCCAGAACCAAATCCGAAGCGCTCATGTTCCTTCTGCCGGGTCCCAGGGCCCTAAAGAGTAGGTTTCCCTACAGCTCCCCACCCCTCCCTCTGGCTGAGGTTGTGCGCAGGCCTGGGAGGAGGAGGTTCAAGCCGCTGGATGGTGGCCGGCTTCAGCCCACCAACAAAGGCGACTCCAGGGACGAGAGCACCTGAGGTCAGGGGCACACACCAGCGGGCGGACAAGTGTAGAGTTGGCGCCGCCCTACACCTCTCTCTGGGAAGTGAGGGGAGGAAAGGCCGTCACCTGGCCGGTTCCCCTGCGTCTGCCCCAGGCGTATAAGAAGCAGGAGTCTGGAGTCCCAGCCCCTGAGGAAAGGAGAGGAGAGACAATTGGGGGCGCTCAAGGCCTCGGGCGCCGGGCAGGGGTCTTGGGCAGGGATCCTCTGGATGCGGCCAAGACAAAGATGGAGAGGTAAGGTCTGCGCGCCACCTCCAATGGCGAGGGGCGCGTCGGAGCCCCAGGGTGGGACGGCCAAAGCCCCGGGCTTGAAGAGTGGGCACATTCAGGAGACTCGGGGAGGGTGGCGGGTCGGATCCAGGGACGAGGCAAGGGGCCTCCAATAGGCGCAGGTGAGGAGGGAGAGCTGGGTCCTGGCGACCCAAAGGGCCCACCTGCGGGAAAGGTGAATGCAGACGATCTTGGGGTCCCTGGGGGACAAGGCCAGAAGACAGCGCATCCTGGAGACCCTGAGGTCCCGTGGGTGCGGAAGGAGACCCTGGGGGCGCCTTCCCAGGGCGTTGGGGGAGGGAAGGAGGGCGCAAGGGTCGGGGAGGGGGCCTCCGGACCAGGATCCCGGGACACCCCGGGGGTCTGGGGACGGGCCGCGCGCTTACCTGCGTCCTCATCGTCGAAGGAGTTCATGCACGGGAAGTAGATGGCGAGCGCCTCGAAGGAGGCGGATAGACTGAGGCGGCTCTGCGAGCGCTCCATGCCTGCACCAGCGCCGGGCGCCTCCGCCGCGCCGGCGGCGGCGGCGGGCGGCTTGGGCAGCTTGGCCGCCCCATTCTTGACGCGGAGTACGGCGCGCGGCGTGGTGGCGGCGGCCCGGGGCCGGTCCGGGGCTCCGCTGCGGGGCTGGCGGGAGCGGCGGGGCCGGCGGCGGGCCAGTAGTCTGGCGCGCGCGGAGCCCGAAGCGCGCACCTGTGCTCCCGGCGGCGGCGGCTGTGGCGGCGGCCGGCGGCGCAAAGCAGTGCGGGTGCGGCGGCAAGCGCGCTCTGGCCCGCGGCGCCCCCAGCCGGCCGCGCGGGGCGGGCTTGGAGCGGCGCCGCAGCCAATCCGTGCCGCCGGGGGAGGGGGCGCCACTGCGGGGCGTGGGAGCCCAAAGGGAGCCTGCAGCGGCCCCTTCTAGCCGCCCCGGGCCCGGTAGTTGCGCGCTGGGAGGCAGGCGCGGGGCGAGGTTGTCTGGACCCTGGTCTGAGGGCTATCCCCGACCCCGCCGCGGCCCCCACCCTCAGCCGGCCGACTTGCGGAGAGGCCGGCGTCCAGTCCCCTACCCAGACAGGCCTCTCCCAGAGATACGGGCGCGCTCGGAGGGGATGCGCTCAGAGGGTCCCGCCCAGACGGGTCGGCATTCGGCCTCCCACACAGAGACCCTCAGCTTCACACCTGCACCCACAGAGAAGCTCAAACAGGCACCCACACCTACACATTCACTCTGCAACATGCCCCGCAGACACCCGGACAGATACACCCACAGACCCACCCCCTCACCGATGCGGGGACAGACACGTCCACGGACACACGCAGACTCACGCAGAGACCTGCAGACACACTCAGGGAGGCAGGCAGGCCACCCCTGGTGCCTGGCCTCCCACACGGGGAGACTCTCAGATGCCACAAAATCCCACGAAAGTTCAGGCAGGCATACACAGTCTCATGCATTCACACTTACCCACAGACACCCCAGAATTCATACACACACTCATACACTCAGATGAACACACAAGTCCAGATCCAGCACATACTCTGTGTCGCCTACCCCCGTGACCATCTCAGCACTGTCAAACACTCAGTCTGGCACGGCCAGACGCACACCCCTTCACCCTTAGACACACTAGAGTAGCATACACACTCCAAGACACAGCCACACAGACTCCATCCCTCCCAGTGTGGGTGCATCCTGACGAACGGACTGACACCCTCAGACTCAAGCACACTGAGACACACTTGGCAGGCCCACACTCACAGACTCTCCCATTATCACCCTTGGCGACCCGCAGTCCTCAGATAACACGCAGGCTCAGACACTCGCAGCCCCAGGACAGAGACGAGCAGAATCGGAAACCCATGCTCCATTCCCTGCATGTGACCTGGGACATGAGGGTACCTGCCCACCTAATCAGGCCCCAGATGGCAGACAACCTTCCCAGTTGCTCACACACCTCTTTATGAAGCCATCTGGTGACATGGAAACAGTTCAGGCCTCAGAAAGAGACAGCCCGGAGTTTGAATCTCAGCTGTGGTGCCGTCTTTCTGGGTGGCCTATGGCAAAACTCTTTACCCCATGGGTCCTGTTCCTCATCTGTACACTGGGAACAGGAATCTTCCATTTTGGATGGCTGTGAACTGCCTGTAAGATAACACAGGTGTTTGTTTTCTATTGCTGCATAACAAATGAAGCGGCTTAAAAACACCAATCTAGTGGTTTACAATCCTATGGATCAGAAGTCTGGGCAGCCTGAGCTGGGTTCTCTGCTTAGGGCCTCACAAGGTATTGGCCAGACTGGGCTCTTCTCTGCAGGCTCTGGAGAAGGATCTGCTTCCAAGATCATTCAGGTTGTTTGCAGGATTCAGTTCCTTGTGGTTGCAGGACTGAGGTTCCTGTTTCTTTGCTGGCTGTCAGTCAGGAGTTGATCTCAGCTCCTCGAAGTGGGTTTCTGGTCCTTACACATGGCCCCCTCCACCTTCAAGGCCTGCCTCAGGATGTCAAGCCATTCTCATCCTTCAGCAGAAGGATGAGAAGTCAAGTCGACCTTGACTTCCGCGTACTGGCCTGAGAGATTCTGCCTTTAAAGGTCTCGTGTGATTAGATCAGGTCCACTCGCATGATGTCCCTTTGACATATGATGTAATATAATCACGGTAGCGATTTCTGATCATGGTCGCAGTTTCCACCCACACTCACACAACGGCGGGATCATACAAGGTATTATATAAGGGCAAGGATCACTGGAGTTATTCTGACACATCTGCCCATCACAGTGTGCAAAACACCTAGCACAGTGCTGGCCTTCGGCAGGTGCTCCCGAGCCCTAGCCCCTTCTCAGGGACCAGATCTAGACTTTGAGGCATCCTGGTGTCATGGTTAAGAGTGCTGCTATAATCATCCCCATCTTGGTCAATGGCAGCTCCATTTTTCCAGAAATCTTGGATACTGGACTCCTCTGTCACACACACCACATTCAATCCATCAGCAACCCCTTTCATTTCTATACACAAAATGTAACCAGAAACTGACCACTTCTCTGCCCCAAACCCTCCCATCTCACAGTCAAAGTCCATGTTCTACAAGGTCCTAACTTCTTTGGCTCTGCCACCCCTCTGTCCTCATACCCAGGACACCCTGGTGGCTCATACCCAGGAAACCCCGGTGGCTCACTCGGCTTCAGAACCCCTGTACTGCTGTTCCCTCTGCCTGAAGCCCTCTCCCTTGCAAAGGGCTGTGTAGCTCACTCACAGATCTCTGCTCAAATGTCACTTTCTCTCTGAAGTCTTCCCTCACCACTCGTTATGAAGTAGCAAAAACCCCTCCCTGAAATGCCAGATCCTCTTTACACTGCTTTATTTTTCTCTGTAGCCCTCATCACCATCTGACACGTTTCATATATATGTGTGGGGGTACCTGTATTTATACGGACACACATATTTATGTATATGTGTGTATGCGTGTATATATATGCAAACACACATGGATGTGTATATGCATGTATATGTATATGTATGTGCATATATATACACACACATATACAACACACACATTTTTATTCTCGTGTATTTGTTTATTGTCTCTTTTTCCCCTTCCCCAGAGCCCAGAAGGATGCCTGGCAAAAAGTTCGTGTTCAGTAAATTGTTGTTGATTGAACACCAGCCTTAGGAAGGACATAAGTATCCTTTGCATCCTCTCCCCATCTTACAGATAAAGAACTGAGGCTTACGAAGGGGGGACTTACTCAAGGTCACAGTGAGTAGGCCTCTGGTCAAAAATGGTGGGTGGGGGCCGGGTGCAGTGGCTCACGCCAGTAATCCTAGCACTTTGGGAGGCCAGCGCGGGTGGATCACCTGAAGTCAGGAGTTTGAGACCAGCCTGGCCAACATGCTGAAACCTCATCTCTACTAAAAATACAAAAATTAGCCAGGCGTGGTGGCGGGCATCTGTAATCCCAGCTACTTGGGAGTCTGAGGCAGGAGAATTGCTTGAACCTAGGAGGCAGAGGTTGCAGTGAGCCGAGACCTCACCACTGCACTCCAGCCTGGACTACAGAGCAAAAACTCCATCTCAAAAAACAAAACAAAACAAAAAAAGGTGGGTGGGGAATCTAACCCAGCATAAGGATATCGAAGAAGGCTTCCCTGAGGATGTGATGTTGAAGCTGAAAATAGCACCTCCTATGTGCCTGGACTTCTTGGTGTGATTTCTCCTTTCTTGGTTAGCTCATGCCTAAAATTCCATCCATAGGATTGGGGCCTGTAAGCTTAAATCATTTACCCTTTGTAAATACGTAATGTTTCCCCATGGAAAATTGAAGTGGTCAGCCACTTACACCTGGGTATGAATAATGCATTCTAAGAACAAGTTTGGGGGGTGGAGAGGGATGCTTAAGAATATGAATGAGGGAAGTGGTGGATGTGGATCCAGAGAAGGAAGGGATGGGAAACCAGAGATGAACTTCCAGGTTGGAATTCACGGCCCAGTGAGATGGAGGATGCCAAGAACCGGGCAGCTCAGTGGAGTGGAATGGAAGAAGCATTGCCTGACTTGGGTTTAAATGACTGTCCTTATTTTATTTATGTGACCTTGGGTGTGCTCCCTCAAGGTTCTCATCAAAAAATGAGAGTAATAGGCCGGGCGTGGTGGCTCACGCCTGCAATCCCAATACTTTGGGAGGCTGAGACAAGAGGATTACTTGAGGTCAGGAATTTGAGACCGGCCTGGCCAACATGGCAAAACCCTGTCTCTACTAAAAATTTAAAAAATTACCCAGGCATGGTGGTACACGCCTGTAACCCCAGCTACCTGGGAAGCTGAAGCACGAGAATTGCTTGAACCTGGGAGGTAGAGGTTGCAGTGAGCAGAGAGCACGCCACTGCACTTTAGCCTGGGTAACAGAACAAGACTGTCTCCAAATAAAAAGGGGAGAGAATAATTAACACCTCTTTGCACAATCGTGGTGAAGGTTGGATGTATACAGAGT